TTATTCAGATCATCAATAGATCAAAATTACATAATCACTGGAAGATTATTTCATCTACTTATAGAAATCCTTAGCAGTGCATATTCATAACCACTTCTAGATTTTCATTGGTTGTTTAATCTAGATCACTGGTCAGTGAGTAGACTTGTGAAAAATGGAAGGTCACTTGTCCTGTTATTATAAAGTGAATTAATCAATGGTCAGATTCCTGTGTGTTCAATGTACCAGGTGATATACAAAAAGGAAAGACGATCCAATAACAACGACTTTTTTTCGCAAACTCTTTTACTGAACCTTTCCAGTTGTATGGATAGTTACTTAACAAATTTATTAATCCACTAAAACATAGAAAGGGACTATATTATAAAATCCTCAAAATTTTAAAGTATCACATAGAAGTTTTGGAGACAGGTTAGATAACTGTCAATTTACTTCTCAATGTTTAATAGATGTACAATATCTAACATTTTTACGTTCATTTAGTGAATGAATAATGCAGTTTAAGAGTATAATTTTTACTGGTGATTTTATTTCAATCTCTAAATTTCACTTTAGTTTTATTCTCTTTTCTTTTTTTTTTTGTTTTTCGATCCGACAATTGGAACTGCACTACAATAGTGTGTTCTGCGAACTAATTCTTTCTTCATGTACTATATCCTTATACACAATCTTTCTTTCATATATTATCACCACTGAATGAACTACTTCTATGAATCCGGTGTTCACCTTGATATGTTAATGAAGTATGACAACTTAGACCGATGCATATATATGCCTGGTCCTGCGTTGTAACTGACTGACTGACTGAGTGACTCACACTAGACATATATAGATACTAATAAATGATTAAAATGAAGTTTCTAATGAAAATTATACTCATCTGTGCATAACTTATCAACTAAGTGAACGAGAAATATTAGATATCGTAGTCTTTATTAAACATTTTTTTAAAAATGATGGTTATCCTCATACAAGTTTGTGTCTTAAATTATGAGTTAAAGAAGAATAGTAAACTGAGAAAATAGTTTATAAATCAAAATATAAAAAAATTGTCTATTTGATGAATATCAGAAACAGTAAAGGAAATAGAAAAGCAAAACTTAGCGATAATAACAAGTAACTAATAATTGTAAAGACTTACATAGGAGCTTATAATCATAGCATGATGAATGATAGAACATACTACTTCGAGATGGTAGAGAAGATTTGTAGCTCAGGTGGAGTTTTATTCTCTGAGTTGGATAGTTTGGTTATGAAGCTTTCATCGTTATTTTGAACGATATCATAAGCACACTTCAATTCTACTTGAAATTTGTGCTGATGATTTCCTTCAGAAGAATAATGAAAGTTCTACGATCAAATCATCTAGTTCAGACAATAAAACTCCACCAAAAAGATACTACTTCTGTATACATATTTCAAGCTTTAACAGTTAAATTGTGTATTCGTATTGTTTCTTATTTTTACTGTGTATATTTTTGGAATATCATTCTGGAAAAAACAATTTAATCAGAATTTCACAGGTTGAAATCATGAGTCAGTTGAAGCTAGACCACCATTGAAAACCTGGAAGCACTGGACGGCCGTTTCGTCCTAGCATGGGACTCCTCAGCAGTGCGCATCCACGAACCCGCTCCCTGCGGGATTCGAACCCAGGACCTACTGGCTTCGCGCGCGAGCACTTAACCATTAGACCACTGACTCACGATTTCAACCTGTGAAATTTACTAAAATCTCCACAAAACTCATTCTGATATTAATCAGAATTGACCAATTATATTGATTTGTTTACTCTATCTGACAGTCAAATAGGATAGTAGTTAAGGTTATGTTATGGAAGAGCTTGCTTTTCATAACCGATGTTATCAATTCCCTAGAACCAAGTAAATGTATAAATGAATATTGATGCCATCTAAGATATATGTTTATCTTTACCCTTTCTACAAAGCATAGGCAAGTTAAAGAAGATAATACGAAATTTTTAAAAAACATTTAATATTTTACCAAAAATCTTAAATATCTGATTTTAGAGTTTCATTTGAAATACTTTCTCTAACTTCAATGTTAATAAGGAGAACTACTTGTGTTAGTATAGGTAACTCTGAGGATACATTATAGTGAAGATTCTAAAAAGCGTTTTGTTCTCTTGAACTTCATGAATTATAGAGGCTTAAGCAAATCACAGATTTAAGCCCAACATTTGCTTATAACATGTATAGTCTCTTATTGCACCATAATATTTATCCTCTTTCATAACTTTTTAGTTGAATGATAGTTATATTAGGTGTTTTAGATTTTTTTAAAGTTACGTAAGTCAGAGAAGGGTTTTGTGGATATTATAGTAATTTTATAGTTGAATTCATAAGTCAGTTGAGCCGGCTCACTACTGAGGAGTCCCATACTAGGACGAAACGGCTGTTCACTGCTTCCAGGTTTTCCAGGGTGGTCTAGCTACAAGTGACTCATGAATCCAACTTTAAAGTTATTTGGGTATTTTTTGAGTCCTGTCAAACAACAATCTTCAATTTTTTTCAGTTGAGAATACTTAGTTTTATAGTTTAGATTTCCCGGATTCTATCGTCAGTCAGTCAGTTACAACGCAGGATCAGGCATATATATGCATCGGTCTAAGTTGTCATACCTCATTAACACAACAAGATGGACGCCGGATTCATAAAAGTAGTTAATTCATAGGTGGTAATATATAAAAGAAAGATTGTGTATAAGGATATAGTACAGGAAGAAAGAATTAGTTGGTAAAAAGAAAGATATGGAGCGATTTTAATTTCATAGTTTAAGGGAAAACAGAGAGTGTGTATACCTACACCATTGTGATCGATTCTGAGTCATATCACCAAGAGTTTCAAACCATTGGTTACGATAGTCACGCGAACCCCAACCAAGTAGTCTGCATCTACCAATATGGCTCAGACCAGAAGTTAGTGACTTCAAGCACTGATGCCACGTTTTGGTTTGATCGCCCCGGATTTTATCGTAACTGGTTCTCATGTTATTCATGATCCTTCTGTTTACAAATTTGAGAAACTTAAGGTTGTGGCTTAGACGAAACGTTAGAAAGGGAGAATGTGATCTACCTTTACTCAACACTCTTGATCATGCATTTAATCACATTAAGCATTTTAAAACACATTTTGTTTTAAAAGCAGGTATGTTTTGCAATTCAGCTGAAGCAGTATCTTGAATTCATTGAATCAAAGCATTTTAAGAATTAATTATTGCTTGTTTTCACTTAGTCAATATTAACATACAAGTTATTATGTAGCATTGGACTTTGAATTCTATACAAAACACATGTGTCACCTTAATTCTGATTGGCTAACTCAAGCCCGTCGGTATACCATGATTTTACCACTTTTTTAAATCACATTGATAATATTCAATGATATAATAGAAAAATTTTCTGAACAAATTTGGAAGATAACAACTAGCATGAAACCCAGAATATTTAACTTCGATTATAAAACATTAGACATAACTCATCATGTTTTGATACTATGTGGTCAGGACGAAATTCTGAACATAAGTTACGTGTTATTCAACACTCGTTAGTAAGGTACGCTTGTAATCTTGAGGGAACTACTGCTGAGTAACTTGAGTTCGGATCCCACAGGGGGCACATGTTGCCTTAAATGCACAGATACGCCTTAGTGACCGGTACCAACTAGAACGAAATCTAGGTCCAAACTCATCTCCCAACCATTTAACATCACAACAAAATGCATGCACTGTTAATATTCTTACTCTAATTGTCATATTACAAGTTAATCAATAAAATTCAATTATTAACATTACAAAACACAATTTTATCTTCTATTCGGTGATCAACTAATGTTAAAAATCTATCCCATTTATTTAGATTGACCAGTTATAAACGATTTAAAGGTAGTTAAATGTTAACGATTTTTAGATTACGGAATAACTTATATCATACTTTAAAAATTCAAGAGACAATCTTATTGATTGAGGTTAATATAATCCGCGTGACATATCAAAGTCATGCTCTTATAGAATTTTGAGTGGTATTTATTAAAAAAAAATGATTCTTCAAAGAAAACAAAACTTCTCTAACTGGAATAATTGTTACCGTGATAGTTTCAATGTGAATAAAGTGATGAGACTATAATTTATGGACTTAATAATAACTATTCTTGGAGTTCAGCACGACATTGATTCATCTTAATGGTTAGATACTATTTCAACATTGTAGCTGTTGTTAGATTGTAATGAAAACATTTACTTTACTTTCTAACCTTAAAATTCAATTCTATAACCTATTTCTTAACTCTTCACATTAATTTATAACACTCTTGTATGACTTTAGGTAGATACATTTTCTCCAGACCTTTTGAACATCACTCTAAGGTTATCCGATAAAGTTAATAGATCATAAATTTTATAAAATTCTTTTTTTCTTCTTCAAAGATTCTACTTTAATTTTTTAATAGTTGAGGTCATGATTATCATGGAAAACCTGTAAACACTGAACGACCATTTCATCCTACTGTAGGACTTCTCAACACTGCACATCCACGATCTCGCCATTACTTTATATAGTTATTAAACAAACTAAATATATTAATTAATCATTACAAAAATCATTAAAAAATTTCAAAGAATTTCAGCGAGACTATAATTTATGAACGAACCAATCAGGTATAAGATAATAAGTCTTGGATTTTGGCGCAAAATTCACTTATTCATTTGTCAAAATAGAGCTTTGGCATTATAGCTGATGTCAGTTCGTAATCAAAACCCCCAAATATAATTCTTAATCTTAACCATCAACTAGAAATTACAATTCAAAGTCTTCACACAGGTTTATAACCTTCATTTGCTCTTAGTTATTAGCTGAACATTCTTAAGATTACTTTAGCGTTGCTTAAACATCATCCATAAATTATAGTCACATCAGAATTTCTTCTTAAATATTACAATAAAAGATTATTCTATAAAAAAAAATCAATATCTTTGTTACTTACATCAACCATCGACAAATCTTCACCAATACTTAATGCATATTTAAATAAATCCCTTCTTGAAATGATTCCATCTCTATTTTTATCAATCACTGTAAATTGTTCAAGATATTCCATAATACTGATCAATTGATTAATTAATTAATTAATTAATTAAATAATTAGAAGCACCAAATTGTATACGTTAACATTCAATAATAATAAGAATAAAAAAGAAGAAGAGTGATGAAAATGAATAAAAGACACTATTAATTCAGTCTAATCATTGTTTTCACATTCACATTCACATCTACTTACCTACCTACCTAGATAGATAGATACATATGTATACGATCAAATAAATTAAACATTTTGTCACATTGTGTGTATTTCGTAAGAAAAAAAAACAAATGATGTAATTTATTGATTAATCAACCAGTGATTTTATAACATTCAAATACAGGATTACACATTACTGTCTGTATGTTTGTCTATCTATCTGTTGTCTGTTTATCTATCTAACTATCTATCTCTCTGTCTGTCTGTCTATCTATCTATAGATTTGCATATTTAATTTGTACGCTTAGTAACATAATTCAATGTGCTCAAGACTAAATAATAAAATAGAGTTTTCTTTAATTATTGGTGCATAGTTTTGTGTATGTATGTATGTGTGTGTATATGTATGCATGTATGTTAGCAGATGTGAATTTGGTTTTGGTGCTGACTTATATGAAAGATAAGGCAATTTGTTGAATAATGAGTTAATTAGGTCAGACATTCCAAACTATGGGTCAATAATAATAATAATAATAATAATAATAATAATAATAATGTTTCTTATATAATTTTTAAAACAAAAGAATAAACTCAAGAAAGAATGTAAATAATTTATGAAACGAAAGAAATATTAGCAATCTCATAATAGTAGTTTTAATTGAATAATAATAAAAAAAAGTTCGAAAGTCACTAGTTGATTCGATTATTATTATTATTATGCTTATAATGATTAAACCCGCCTGGAGTTCCTCCCAGGGCTACTGCCGGTCCCGAGCCCGGATAAAGGAGGAGGGTTAGGCGTGGGGTTAGCCACCCTATCCCGTAGAAAACTAATTCGCTAAGAAAACGCTCATCAGAAAAAAATTTATTCAAACCATTTAAACTCTGCCCTGGGAGTCAGAAGGTCTTCATTTATAAGAATTATGACGCCTCATGATGAAGGCCGATTTCCTTCGGAAGTCACGAGGTCAATGCTCCTTCTGAAAACCAGAGCAACCATTTATTTAGGTACATGGAATGTTTGTACAATGTGGGAGACCGGGAGAGTCTCCCAAACTGCTGCTGTTATAATTATTAAAGAGAATTAAATCTATTTATCTAGATTAGAATAATGTTTGCTCGTTGACCTTAATGAAAGAATTATTGAATAATAGGAAGCATTGATGATGTTTTTCAGTCTGATATAAGACTCCCCTGAAGTGTGCAGCTATGAACCCACGTTGAGTCGAATACATGACTATTTAGGTTCATGATAAACTCTTAACCTTCAAACTACAGAGAGGATAGTTAAATGTGTTATAACTTGTGCACTGTTTCCTATTAATGTATAACGTAATGATCCCGCCAATTAGAGAACAGTGAATTATCGATCGGACCAATGACGCATAAAACCTATACGAGCAGTCTAGAGTCTTTACCGGTCCTGATTCTTGCCTAGCCCTGCCTGTTAGAGTCCAGAACACAAATCTCAACCTCTGCGATATGAATAATGTATTTCAAGCATACTGGGTTTATATACCAACTAAACAGACCACATCGTACTATAAAATAGGAAACGATAAGATTTAGCCAAAAGTGGCAGTGAATGTGGAAACTGTAATTAATAAACTTGGCATAACTCATGAATGGTAAATCGTATAACAATAGTCCATAAGTCAAAATAAAGCTCATAACAAGAGGGATACGAATACGAATAGTTTAGTTACTCAACAATTATATGGTAAAAATATAAGTTTAGTATTGATCCATAAATGAATCCCAAAAGTTACAATTCATTATTCTCATCGGAATATAACAAGATGAAATCATTATCCAAAAAAATGGATTTGGGAACTAAAGACAATTCACAAAACATTCCACTAATACAGTACTGCAAGAAGTTATCAGTCAAATAACAGATCACCAATCAAAGGTCAACATATAAAACATGAAACAACCATTTAGACGTCGATAAAGACTGCCCTCAAACTCCCTCAACCCTCAACAATAAATATGTTTACGTAGGTAGGTATTTTGATCAGTGAAACGAGTTTTGCATCTTGCAGATGCAAATACTTACTTACGCCTGTTACTCCTCGTGAAGGAGCATAAGCCGCTCACCAACATTCTCCATCCAACCCTGTCCCAAACAATCCTTTCCAGCTCCTTCCAGTTGTTATTCATCATTTTCATATCTACTTCTATTATCCGACGTAATGTGTTCTTAGGCCTTCCTCTTTTCCGCTTCCCTTCGGGACTCCAAGTTATGGTTTGCCTCGTGATGCAGTTTGATGATTTGCGTAATGTATGTCCTATCCATTTCCATCGTCTTTTCATAATTTCTTCTTCAGCTGGAAGTTGGTTTGTTCTCTCCCACAGAAGGCTATTGCTGATGGTATCCGGCCAATGGATGTTGAGTATCTTGCGTAGACAGCTATTTATAAATACTTGTACTTTCCTGATTGTGGTTGTTGTAGTTCTCCAAGTTTCAGCTCCGTACAGTAGAACTGTCTTGACGTTCGCATTGAAGATTCTGACTTTGATATTGGTTGAAAGTTGTTTTGAGTTCCATATGTTCTTCAATTGTAGGAATGCGACCCTTGCTTTGCAAATCCTCGCCTTTACGTCTGCATCTGAACCTCCTTGTTAATCGATTATACTTCCCAGGTATGTGAAGGATTCTACATTTTCCAAAGTTTCGCCATCAAGAGTGATTGGATTACTGTTCTCCGCTTTGAATTTGAGGACCTTGGTATTCCCTTTGTGTATGCTGAGGCCTACTGATGCAGAGACTGCTGCTACACTGGCTGTCTTTGTCTGCATCTGTTTGTGTGTATGCGATAGGAGGGCTAGGTCATCTGCAAAGTCCAAATCGTCTAATTGATTCTGAGCTGTCCATTGTATTCCGTGTTTTCCTTCAGATGTCAGGGTCTTCATAATCCAGTCGACCACCAGAAGAAAGAGGAAGGGAGAGAGTAAACAACTTTGTCTGACTCCGGTCCTTGCTTGGAATGCATCTGTCAGCTGTCCTTTATGCAATACTTTGCACTGTAGTCCGTCATATGAGTTCCGGATAATATTGACAATCTTCTCAGGAACTCCGTAGTGTCGAAGAAGTTTCCATAACGTCCTCCTGTCTACACTGTCAAATGCCTTTTCATAATCAATGAAGTTGATGTACAGTGATGAGTTCCACTCAACTGATTGTTCGACGATGATCCGTAGTGTTGTAATTTGGTCTGTGCACGATCGATCCTTACAAAATCCAGCTTGTTGATCTCGAAGTTGGACGTCTACTGCATCCTTCATCCGGTTCGGCAACACTCTGTTGAAGACCTTCCCAGGTATTGACAGTAGTGTAATGCCTCTGCAGTTTTTACATTTGCTCAGATCTCCTTTCTTTGGAATCTTGACGAGGTGTCCTTCTTTCCAGTCCATCGGCACTTGTTCCTCCTCCCAAATCTTTTTGAATAGAAGGTAAAGCATGCTTGTGGTTACTTCGACATCTGATTTCAGTGCTTCAGCTGGTATGTTGTCGGGTCCTGCTGCTTTCCCATTCTTAATCTGTCTGACGGCTATTCTAATTTCTTCCTTCGTTGGTGGGTTGACATCTACAGGAAGATCTGTGTGTGCTGCTTCGATATCCACTGGGTTCATTGGAGCCGGCCTATTCAGGAGTTCCTCGAAGTATTCTACCCATCTGTTCCGCTGTTGTTGAATTTCAGTGATTGGCCTGCCTTCTTTGTCTTTGACCGGCCTCTCTGGTTTACTGTATTTCCCTGATAGTTTCTTCGTTGTATCGTAGAGCTGTTTCATATTTCCTTCTCTAGCAGCTTTTTCTGCCGTCGTTGCTAATTCTTCCACGTATTTCTTCCTGTCGGCTCTAATGCTCCTCTTCACTTGCTTGTCTGCTTCTATGTATTCAGCTTGTGCTTGGACTTTCTCTGCTCGTGTTCGGCTGTTGTTAATCGCTGCCTTCTTGTTCTTCCTTTCTTTGATCTTGTCCAGTGTTTCTATCGAGATCCATTCCTTATGATGGTGCTTCTTTAGGCCCAGAACCTCTTGACACGTTGAAGTCAATGTTTCTTTGATGCCTTTCCAGTTGTCCTCCATGGTAGTTTCTTCTTCCTTCAGTAGATCTTGAAAGGCTTGGAACCTGTTGTTGAGAGCTATCTTGAATTCATTGAGTTTGTCAGTATCTCGAAGGAGGGCTGTATTGAACCTTTGTAGTGCTGTTCATTTTTAGCTTCAGTTTTAAATTGGCTACAACTAGGTGGTGATCTGAAGCTACGTCAGCTCCTCTCCTGGTTCTCACATCTTCCATTGTCCTTCGGAATTTTTTGTTGATGCAAATATGGTCTATCTGGTTCTCTGTAGTGTGGTCCGGTGAGATCCATGTAGCCTTGTGTATACGCTTGTGTGGAAATATTGTGCCTCCTATGACTAATTTGTTGAATGCACACAAATTTGCAAATCTTTCTCCATTTTCGTTCCTCTCTCCCAGTCCATGTCGTCCCATAATATCTTCATATCCAGTGTTTTCTATTCCGACCTTGGCATTTAGATCTCCCATCAGAATGGTGAGGTCCTTTCTTGAACATTTCTCTATGATTGACTGCAGCCGCTCGTAGAATTGATCTTTAATGTCGTCGTTGCTATCACTGATGGGTGCATAACATTGGATAATATTCATTAAGATCCCCTCCTTCTTTGTTTTGAATGATGCTTTGATGATTCTGGATCCGTGGGATTCCCATACTACAAGTGCATTTCGTGCTACTTTGGGCAGCATTAGAGCAACTCCCTGAGTGTGTGGAGCATTTTCCTCTTCGTGACCGGAGTATAGCAGCATCTCTCCCGTAGCTAGCCTTTTCTGTCCA